GGCAGATAAATATTAATTCTCTAAAATGTTTAGGGGCCCTGTGGGCTGGATAGGATGGCCTGGCAGGCCACATCCAGCCCCTGGGCCACATTTTGCCCACCCATGGTCTACAGTCATTCTCAGTGGAATACCAAGGTCTCCATGGGAACCCAAAGACAACCTCATTGACCCAGCAAACAGAAAACACATGACATGCCCAAGCTGAAGAGTACTCCCTTTCAATCCTGGTATGTTAATGCTTGACATATGATCTTTTTCATATTGCAGTAGCCTGACCTCCCCTTGGAAGGTCAAGATCCCTCCCTGGAATTTCTTCCTTGTATCTTTACAATTTGGTATTTTCATAGTTCGTAGGGTTGGAAGGGACCTCAGCAGGTCATCAAGTCTGACTCTCTGCCATGGCAGGAAAAAGTACTGGGGTCAAACGACCCCAGCAAGGTGTTCATCTAACCTCCTCTTAAAGACCCCCAGGATAGGAGCCAGCACCACTTCACTTGGAAGTTGGTTCCAGGTCCTAGCCGCCCTGACTGTGAAGTAGCGCCTCCTGATATCTGCCTGAATCTACCCTTTGACAGCTTGTGACTGTTATTTCTAGTCACTCCTGGTAGCGCTTGGAGGAACAGGGACTCCCCCAATGCCTGCTGGTCCCCTCTGACTAGTTTGTAAACAGCCACCAGGTCCCCCCTCAGCCTTCTCTTGTGGAGGCTGAACAGGTTCAGGTCCCTTACCCTCTCCTCATAGGGCCTGCCCTGCGGCCCGATCATGCGGGTGGCCCTCCTCTGAACCCTCTCAATGCTGTCCACATCCCTCCTGAAGTGTGGCACCCAGAACTGGACAAAGTACTCCAACTGCAGCCTGACCAGTGTCGCACAGAGGGGGAGGATCACCTCCTTGAGCCTGCTTGAGATGCATCTGTGGATGCACGACAAGGTATGGTTGGCCTTCCTGACCGCGTCCCCACACTGTTGGCCCATGTTCATTTTGGCATCAATAATGACTCCAAGATCCTTTTCTGCCTCTGCACTGACAAGAAGGGAGTTCCCCAGCCTGTAGGTGTGCTGCTGGTTCTTCCTCCCCATGTGCAGCACCTTGCACTTGTCAGTGTTGAAACCCATCCTGTTCTCATCTGCCCACCCCTGTAACCTGTCTAGGTCCAATTGCAAACTATTCCTCCCTTCTAGTGTGCCCACTTCCCCCCACATCTTAGTGTCTTCAGCAAATTTGAACAGCGTGCTTTTTACCACCTCGTCCAAGTCACTGATGAAGATGTTGAACAGCCTAGGTCCGAGGACCGAGCCCTGGGGGACCCCACTGCCCATATCCCTCCAGGTTGAAAATGACCCGTCCACCACCACTCTCTGGGTGCAGCCCTCCAGCCAGTTAGTAACCCATTTGACTGTGTAGGTGTCGATGCTACAGTCCCCTAGTTTTTAATGAGAATGGGGTAAGAAACAGTGTTGAAGGCCTTCCTGAAGTCCAGAAAGACTATGTCCACTGCTACCCCTGCGTCTAAGGCTTTTGTGACCTGGTCATAGAAGGCCACCAGGTTGGTCTGACAGGACCTGCCTCTAATGAACCCATGTTGGTCGCCCCTAAGCATAACCTCCCCTGCTGGCCCCTCGTGGACATGCGCCAGGACAATTCTCTCAAAAAGCTTACCCAGGATCGAGGTAAGACTAACTAGCCTATAGTTTCCTGGGTCTTCCTTCCTCCCTCACGCATTTTGAATGCATGAGGTTTGACAGAATAATATTTTTTGTCTTGACTGCATAATGCCTGCATTCCCAGTACATTCTAGCACACCATGCACCCAGCAACATGAAAAAGAAGCTATGTTCTATCTGTAATTTTCTTCACCTGGCAATTTCTTCAGTAACCAGGCATATAGCTTTTAGAGCCGTCTCCACTTTAGTGCTGGCATTTGCATTCACATTGCTTCCCTCTGAGGCCATCACACTTCATTTTAAAGTATTCTTTCATTGCCTTTGAGCTTTGGGAGGTACTTTCACTGCCTGCCTTGCATCATTTGTCAGACGTACTGAGGCCACAATTCAACATTCACATTAGTTGATGCCAGCCCTATTTCACAGTTACTGAAAGGCATCATACAATGTCATCTCTCTATGTCCTAGCCCCTTATTATTCAGCCTACTGTTGCTTGAAATCAGTTCTCAACACCCAGGTTTATCTATAAACAAATGTTGCACGTGTAAGAAGAGATTAGAAGAATGAACAGGAAGCTATTTCCGTTACATATACCCTCTAAACATCTATTCTACTCCTTGGCAACAATAACATACTTCCCTGTACTCTTGCCAGCTTCACAGCTTTCAAAGTATTGCCAATCTTCCTAGAAAGAAATGTCCTGTTTTGGTAAACTTAGTAAAACCAAAGCTTAAATTGACCACCTTTCTTTCACCCAAACAACAGAGCAGTCTAGAAGCTGCTACTTCATGACACATAGTTTCCCGTATTACACAAGTTCAGGCACACAGCTCTGACTTGTTCATCTGACACTGCCACTGAGCTGATAGGAAAGAAATGTGAAAATACACATGTAGGTAGGTTCACTGAGGCCAAACAGCAACAAAACAGCAGCAAAACTACTGTTGCTGCAGAACAAAACAAAAAGGAATCTTAAATTCTGATCCAAAGTCGTTTCAGTTACTTCAAGCGATTCATTTGATGCAGGCATTAAAAGACAGTTTTACCAGCTCAGCACCAGAAAAATGAATTCGTATTTACAAAAGAGAATGCTTGTGGTGGAATGTTTACAAACCTCAGAACAATGCCATGTCACTACTGGAAAAAAGAGAGCTTAGATTTCTGGGGACAAATCACCAGGGCCGTCCCTAGGGGGGGCGTGAATTGAGGAGACCACCTCGGGCCCTGCGCTTTGGGGGGCCCCGCGGAATGGGATGGAGCAGCAGTGACACGGAGCTGGGCAGCGCAGCGGCTCCGTATCCAGCCGCTCGCTACAACCCCCCTCCCCACCGTTGCTGCTGCCACTGATGGCAGCAGCAACAGCTTCTTCGGATCTGGGATCCGAGCAGGGGTGGGGCCCCACATGGGCTGATTTGCCCTAGGCCCCGCACCCTGCTTGAGTCGTCTCTGCAAATCACCCTTTTCTCTCTAAGAACTAAATAATGTAATAAGGGGCTAAAGCAGCCATCCAGAAGAGTGTTAAGATACAACAGTTTATAGGTTAACATTCCCCCTAAATACATGCTCTGTATAGATGCGTGAAACTGGAGAGATTAAACCACTGAATTATCACAGGATTTTCTCTGTAGCCTTTGCTTCTACTTCTCCATCTCTGTAATGCCAGCCCTTGGCATTTGACAACTCTAGTGAAAAGCAAGCATGTGTCTACTTAATATTATTTTTTATAGAGGTGCAACAATACTTCAGTCCCATAACAGATCGGCACCGATATAGAGAAAATTGAAAGCATCAAAATCGGCTTTTTTTCCCTGATGCGGCCAATAATGTGGCCAATAAATGCCTTGTGCCTGTGCACAGCCGCAGCATGCAAGGGGCCAGGAGTGAAGCCCAGCAGCTTGGAGACCAGCATCTGTCTGGTAAGTCTGGTGTGGGGAAAAAGGGTGGGGGGAGGACAGACCGAGGGTGAGGGAGGGTGTAGGGCTGGTGCTGTTCAGCTGGGGCAGATGTGGGAAGGAGCTGGGAGCAGCTCTTTGGGGGGTGGGGGCAGCTCCCACTGCATGGGCATGGGGGTGCCCCCAGATCTGTGTGCAGGGCAGGATGTTGCTGCAGGCTGGGACCAGGGGCTGCACTGGGCTCTTCCTGGTGGGGGCTGGGCTCAGCTGCATGGCAACGGCACTGGGAGGGGGAGTTGGGGGGGGCTACAGTGAATTTTGGGGTGGCTGCAGCTTTCCTCCTCTGTAGCCCCCCTCCCAGTGGTGCTGCTGCCACCCACCCCAAGCATAGCCGGGCTGGCACAGCCCGGCCTCAGCCTGCAGAGGCAGCTTGCCCTGCCCCGCACAGATCCGGGGGCATATGCCCTCCCCCCATGCCCTCCAGGGGTGCATACAGGGTGGGAGCTGCCCCACCCTGCAACCCCCTGGACAAGCCAATTGTGGCTCCCATGCCCCACCCCAGCTGAGCTGTTTTTCCCTCACCATGAGGGCCTCAATCTGTGCCCCCCAAGCCCCTTCCTAACCTCCCCCCACCCCTTCCACTACACCAGATTTACCAGCCTGATACTGGTCTCCAAGCTGCTGGACTCCATATTGGGCTGCATATTGGAATCCAAGCAGTACTGGCCAATATGCCTCCTTAAAAATCAGCCATCAGTATCAGCCCCAAAAAATCTCTATCGGTGCACCCCTATTTTAAAGTGAATAGGATTTTGTAGCTTCTTGGAAAAATATCTTATCCAGCAATGGAATGCAAGTGAGCAACAGAAAACTTTGCATTTGTTATCTGAAATTTTGGCCCTAACAAAATGGCACAGGGGAAAGTTTCCTTTCAGTGAGACCTGAAAAGATTGAGCTAAGATATACATGTCACCGACACACTGCTTAATGTTCAGGAAGCAGGGACAGAGCATCAAGAGCCCCGAGAGCAACAGGCATGAGTGAATCACAGCAAAGCAGGGCCGGAAGGGACCTCAGGAGGGCATGTAGCCATCCCTACCCAAAGCACCCCGAACAATCCCGCAACTGCACTCCCAAAGGAAATCCACGTGCTCAAGCGGAGCCACGGGAAAGTCGCGAGGGCCCGCCTACACTTGCCCGCGGCTCCGCGTCCCCGGAGGAGCCTCTCCGGAAGGCAACGGCACCCCGCGCCGCCCCG